ATAATATGTAAATTTATAGATGTTATGGTGATAGGTCTGTTACTGAGCATTTATGTTTTTGGACTTCTGGCCTTGTTTTCTTACGATGGTAGCGATTTATGTTTCTTAGTCCTTTTCTGGTATTATTTAGTTTCCCGGTTTAATCATTTAGATTTCTGGTTCTTAATTACTTTGAGTTAGTTCCCTTTTGTTCCCTCTCGTTTGCCTTTGTGTATCTTTATTATGTGAGTCTCCCTTTGTCCCTCGTCAGATCCTTGTCATGTTCATCATCCGTCATGTTTCAGGTCTCAGGTTTCCTTGTTCCAGGTACCTTGTGTTTAGTTTTCGTTGGTTTAATCTTAGTCTCCCTTTTGCTTTGGTTGTATTTTGTGCAGTCAAAAATAAAAAGCTCACTTTCATTTTTGACTGCAGTCCAGTACCGTGTCTTTAGTCTGCATTTGGGTCCACACTCTGTCCACTCTCCACACAGTCTGCCATCACAGACCTGACAAAGGGGGGGATATGTATTTATGTAAATATGCCTGGGAGGTTGAGGGTTTTAACTGATCAGGTACTGAATTGTGCATGTTATACAGCATTTTTGTTAAACAAAAAGGACGTTTAAAAAGAAGAGTTGGTTTCGTGAGGGTGTTTTCTTGTTGTTGGATCAAATAAAAAATAAATCAGATTTCAGAGCAGCTACTGGTGCTGGAGTTGGTCCTTAAAACCCACATATCTTTCCTGCTAACACCTTGAACAAGGTCAGAATAAAGTCAACAGACTGCAGTGTTGGGTTACAAATGAGTCATTTTTAATTTTTTTAGTGCAACATCACAACAAACAATTTTCACATGAGGTATTCAAAGGGATTTTCTTTAGTTGTTGATACAAAATGTCCCACCATGATTGACGTTTAAAGTTTTGTATATCTTTTTTTAAAGCCTTTGGTTGGTTAGCCACATTCATTAGCAAGGCAAGTTTATTTATATAGCACAATTCAACCACAAGGTGATTCAAAGTGGTTTACAGAGACATTAAAAAACAAAAACGAATAAAAAGCATGATTTAAAATTGATTTTAAAAAAACAGTAGATAAAATCAGAACAGCAGATGAAATCAGTAGTTAAAATGTAAGCTTTGAAATTTAAGCTTAAAAGTGTGGATTTGGTGTTTTACTCAAATGCAGCTGAGAATAGGTGAGTCTTCAACCTGGATTTAAGTAAACTAAGCAAATTTCAGCTGATCTGAGGCTTTCTGGGAGTTTGTTCCACATATATGGAGCATAAAAGCTGAATGCAGCTTCTCCGTGGCTGGTTCTGACTCTGGGAACTGATAAAAAAAAAAACGATCCAGATGACCTGAGGGATCCGGAAGGTTCATAGTGGGTCAGGAGGTCACTGATGTATTTTGGTACTAAACCATTCAGAGCTTTATAGACCAGCATCAGAACTTTAAAGTCTATCCTCTGACGGACAGGCAGGCAGTGTAAAGACCTCAGAGCTGGACTGTAGTAAGTCTAACACATGGACAAGAATGGCACAATAAAGCATGGTGGGTCGAGTCAAGCTGGGGAAAGTTAGACTCAGTCAGATATTTCCCACAGCCTTTCCAGTTTAAAGCTTTTTGTATGGATCTTATTAATTTCTACTTACAACAGTGGGATTGAACAGTATTTCAGCTACACTAAACATTTTGAAAAGAACAGGTGGGAGGGACACAACAGTTCCCCTGTTTGTCACGGTGCTGGGTCGGTGACCCAGTGTTTTGAGTTTCTTGTGTCTCTAAATTTTTGTATTTTTATCTTACTTCTCTTTGTTGCCCCAGTTTATTCTTTAGTCTAGTGTCTTAGTTTGGCTTTCTTGTATTCTCTTTAGTTTTCTAAGTATTTAGTAGCTGCCCTCCATGTCTCCTTGTTGTTGTTTTCTGTGTTTCTTAGTGCTGTCTCCCCTAGTCAAGTCTGTCTGTTACATTTCCTGTTTTACATTGAAGGTCTGTGTCCTACGTGAATTTACTGAGTTTCGCTTCCTTTGGGTCTGGTTATGTCCAATTTCTCTCAGCTGTGCTCCCCTTCTGTGTCTCATTCCCCTCGTTATTTCCCAGTGTATTTAAGCCCTGTGTTTCTCTGTGTTAGTGTTGAGATCTCTCATATGCTGTGTGTGGTTCTCCTTGTGTTTCCTGGTGTACCTTACATTTAGATTTTCCCAGTTTAATATTGTATTATTTGTGATCTGTTTTCCAGCAATAAAGCTGTGCTTTTTGAGTTTATTCCCCGTGTGCCCGTGAGCAGGGGCGGATCTAGAGAAATTTTCTTAGGGTGGCAAAGAAATCAACCCCCCACATATGCAGGTGGTTACATATGGTTAAAATGATTCAAATGCACTAAGTATACACGTTTTTCGTATAAATATAGTCTATAACTTAATTATTGTCTGTAGCCCACATAATTACACACTTTAGTTACATAAAACATGTGAGTTTTGATGTTATGTACTGTATAGCCTGTATATTAAATAATATGTAGCCCAATCCAGAAAGCTACACAACATGGGGCGGTTCATTTACAAACACAAGTCTAATTTAAGTTTCACACTGTTTTTTGTTAGAAAACAATCACATTGTTAGATGCTTAAATTACACAAAATGTCAGAAATGCACTGTCATGAACAAAAATTTAAACCTAATTTTTCATCATTTGTTGGATTAACCCACTGAGGCCTGAAATACAACCGGCCATTTTTGACTCCTTTTGAGTTTACGTTTGTTTCATTTTATTTTTTTCCCCTTGCCTTGTTTGGTATCATTCTTTTCAGCTCAACTGAATTTTGTTGTTTTTTTCACTGACATACTGCATTTGTACTACAATTACTATTAATAGTACTATTACTGATCTGAAATCACACAAAGAACTTAAAATCCTAGTAGTATTTTTTACTGTAAAAAAAACCAGACATTTTGAGTAAATTTTTATAACTTGAAATGCAAATATAAAATGTACATTTTCTAAACATATACAACTATTTATCTAAAAATGCAGACAATACACCTGCTGTTTGTTTTGTTTTTTCATTTTCTACAACCATTTAAAAATATTACTAAAACTAAAATGAGAGAACAATCAGGTTTCGCAATAAGATGCCCCACAAATGATGTGTGCCAGTAAAAAAAAAGTTTGTCCACCAAAAGACAGAGGAGAACGGCACAGGGATAAACCTGCAGGCCTGACAACAGGAGGTGTATCACTCCGCTGGTTTTCTACTTAGTGACAGTGTTTACCTTTCAAATGTGCCTTTGTGACATTCATTAGTGCCCTCACTGACACACAAAACAAAACGACTACACAACAGAACAGCTACACAAGTCAACACAACACACTAAGTATACACTCCACACGTCACAAATCTCCCACATCTAAAAACTCTCTCTCTCGCTCTCTCTCTCACTCACTCTGTCTCGCTGCCATTACTGTCACTGTCACTCCCAAAACTTTTCCCTCTTCCTAAACAACCAAATCCCACATGTTGACTTTTTTTTAATTCGTCCACATGGTACATTTTTCTACCGATAGGAAAGAGGTGGCTTTTTTTCCTTTCTTTACTGTTTTCACGCTGTCCTTAGAAAACGCTTAAAACACACACACAAAAATGTGACGACAGTATTTAGAAAAAGCATGGCTTATATATATTATCATAACTCTGGATTTACTGGCCTGTAATTAAAATTTAAAAACTTTGAAGTCCGAACTTTCAGTGTGGGCTGAAATAGAGACTCAGCGTGGCTGCAGCTTTTTGCTATGTCAGCTTAAAATTGTCATGGAGGTGGAGGTGCAGCGTGTCTGTGGACCACATGGTTAATAACACTCACCTTCCTTCCATTTCCAGAGTGTAACATCCAACCACCTGTGTAAAATTGAAAAGACTGACTTCACAATTTGTGAAGATTTTTTTTTTTTTTTACTGTAAACTCAAAAAAAAGATTCAGAAAAACTTGGAAAAAAGCTTGAATCTTTGCAGCATTTATTTAAACATTTAAAGACGTAACCAGTCCCACTTAATGCTCAGATCAACACTAAAAGTAACAGGCTGTTCTCATGGTTAATTGACTTGGTAACAAAGGCCTTCATTATTAGATGTAATTGGTTGTTAAGAGCAAATTAAAAAAAACATTTATGTAAACAACATTCATCTGGTGGAATTGGTGACTATATTTGTATGAATGTATTTCAACAGTTTGGATGACTGAATGTGTAAAGCGCTTTAGGGTCCTTAGGAACTAGTAAAGCGCTATACAAATACAGGCCATTCACAGGCCAGATAATATAAATTAGTAAAACATACATTCTTTGAGGGATTGTGTGTTACGTTGTCTCCCCCTGGCGGATGTATTTGAACACACAGCCATAAACAGGATTTTTTTTTTTTTTTTTTAGCTCTTGCTTTGGTTCCTTTGGTTCATGAATTATGCAGCAAACTGGTTGCAGTCTCTGCATAGTAACAGCTCTGCTGCTTCATCCTGAGCTCCTTTTATGATGACTGAATTCTGTTTCTGATGTTTTCTTCAGTTCAGGCAAATTTCTGTTATCACAGAGCTCAAAGCCACAAACAACATTCAGCGATCTGATTTAAGATTTACAAAGTTTTTAATTGGGGCATCTCTAAGCAGCAGACTGACGTGGAGCATTAGAGGTGTGAAGACTCAGATATTTCAAAATGAAGGCCAAAAAAAGAAAATAATAAGCTAATAAATGTTCGTCTGATTAGGGAATGAGACACACTTTAAAACCAAATGTATGTTTACATGTAAGTGTTTCAGAGCTATAAGCATTAATCTAGTTTATTACATCATGCACTCCTCCAGGGAGGTTGTTCATAACATGCAGGGAAAGGGATCTGTTCCTTTTCAGGCACAGAAGCATTAGTTACACCCAACACATGTTAACAAGAATAACCTTTTCATTTAAATTCAACATAAACGTTCATCTATATTACAGCAAGTCCCTGTTTCCTGGGTGAAAGCCAAACACGATGGCGGTGTCAGTGATTCATTAGCGCTGGATGTGTCAGTCCAGACCTGTAAAAAAGCCCATTTCTCACCGTGTGTCATTAACACTGTTTCAACATTACTGAACACCACAAACTGCCCAGCAGCTGATTCTATTTACAACCCAAATTCACAGCAGTTACAGAATTTCGATCAGCAAACAGAAATGGCTTTCTTTCATTGTCAATGTGGTCACAGTCTGCCTCCCGGTGGACAGACAGGAGAAGACACAGCATTTGCTGTGATGTTGATTTAATCTGTTTAACTTGATTCTCTTTAATATGATAAATCTTGATGAAAAAAACAGGCTCTCTGCAAATGGTTTGCTTAAACAATAATGCCTATCAGAACAGCTGGGTATTTATTTCCTTACAATGTGCACATTTATTCCTGTTTCCTACCAACTCTGGTCTGGTCTGGGTTTCTTACATTTCTGCTGATTATAGCTTCCATGTCGGCTTAGTTTCCTCTTACTGTTGTCAGCAACAGTCCAGTCACAGTGGTATGTACATATCAAACTAAACCTCTTACTCACCAGTCTTTCTTTGACCCCTGACAGGGCTCCTGTGGCTCCTGCTGGGCCTTTAGCTCTGCCGGGGCCCTTGAGGGGCAGTTGGCCAAGCAGACCGGGCAGCTCGTTGACCTCAGTCCTCAGAACCTGGTGGACTGTGTTACAGAGAACGACGGCTGTGGAGGAGGCTACATGACCAATGCCTTCCAGTATGTGAAGGAAAATGGAGGTATTGACTCTGAAGTGGCCTACCCATATGTTGGACAGGTGAGCAACCCACTCTGCCAAACACACAACTAAACTTGAAGTAGCTTATTAATCTGAGCCTTTCACTTCAGTTCATTTCATGTCGTGAGTGCCACATTCTCTATAAACTAAGCACTTATATTTTAATATCACTGGGTGCTTGAACACATAAAGGCAAGATGGACCAAAACAGTCAGGCAAGTTTTTTTTTCCAAGTAATAAATAAGTATAATTTAGTTGGTGTTTGTTCTTTTTTAAATTATCTTCCAGTACTTCCAGTACTTAAGATAAGCTAGAAGTGTGTTCTGTGAAGGCACTCTTACAAAGAAGCTTTGCAGACTTTTCACAAAAACCTAGTTGTTATAAATAATACCCAGTAATCAGTGGTACCTTGTGAATCTTGTGACAGAAGAGTCACAAGGTACCAAAACTTGCATAGCAAGTATTTTGATTATTAATTTATACTACAATTATTAATTTGTTTTTATTGTCGGTTAATCAGTAATAACCATTGGATTATCAGTGTCGGGCAAGTTACTTTGAAAAAGTAATTAATTATAGTTACTAGTTACTTCTTCAAAAGAGTAACTGAGTTAGTAACTGAGTTACAAGATTCTAAAAGTAATTAATTACTTGAAAAATAACTATTGCGTTACTTTAAAAAAAAATGTTTAACCATGGGCTCCAGTGTATAATTGGCCTTTTTTAACCACTTTTGATTTTACCTCTACATTTAACCTTTAAAAACTATGTACTTTGCCTTGTTTGGTATCATCCTTTTCAGCACAACCTCACGTTTCTGAATTTACAGTTATGCTTTCATTTTGACATAAAAATGATCTAAATCAGACAAAAAACATAAAATCCGAGTAGAAAAAGTTATATTTTTTAACAATCGCAAACATGTTTATTGAATCATATTTCATAACTTTAAATGCAAATATAAATTGTCAATTTTAATGTTATATGCACAAATCTTTTCAAACAACAAAGTTATTTGCAGCTATTTACATTTTACCCTCTTTTTTTATAACAATTTCAAACTATTTATATAACAATCAGGTGTTCTGCATTCAATATGTATGTACTCACTCTCTCTGTTTTTCTGCTGTCTCTCCCCCCCCCCCCCCCCCCCTCCCCCCCCTCTCCCTCTCTCAAAACTTCTCCTAAACAACCAAATGTCATGTTGCCATATCATTTTTTGATTGGTCGACATGGCACATTTTTCCACCAACACAAAAGGGCGTTTTTGTTTTTGTTTTGTTTTTTGTTTTGTTTTTTAATTTTTTGCTCAAAAGCATGTCCCGGCTTCCTCCGGTCAGATGCGTGGAGGCAAGCCAGTTGACAGAGCTGTTACTGGAGGTTTGTATTGGCAAACACTTGCTTTCCCGTTCTAATGCATTATTTTAACAACCACTATAACTTTATGTGACTTAGACACCGACTACTGTGAGCAAGAGCCGCATAGTGTTGTCATACACCGAACAGAACGGAATTGGTGAGTTTGAACTTTGGACTGTTGTGGTGCTAGCAGCTGACGCTAATTGGATTGTTTTGAGTTGACTAATATTTGTTGGATAACAAATGTTTTGAAGCTATACAATCTGTATATAGCAGTTGAACTATTTTTTGTTAAATTCTTATTGATAAAATATACTGTTTATTTAATTATTTATCTATCTATAAATTGTGTACACAGGAACAAGAATAACTTAATGTATTTAGCTCAACTGGCTGATATTTTCATATTCTTGTGATTTCTTATTGGCCATGTTTATTTGATGCAGGCCAGGTGACCCTTTTTGGGTTTAAAAAAGGATGAAAAAAAAAAAAAAAAGGATGGCCAGCCAATGAACGGCAAGGAGCAGAAGTCGTTCTGCATTGAAGCTTCCACTTCCACTGGTCTGGTAGGAAGTTATCAAAGATTATCCAATCACACTGATTTCCACATTCATACACACCATTCCCCCGTTTATGGACAATAGTGCTTGGATATCTCTAATGCACACTGCATAAATAAAATTCATAGAAAAAATCCATGGACTTTCTCCCTTTCAGAGTGGATCAGTGTTTTTGATGTTGATGTGTGTTATTTATAGGGGAACATTTTTTGTTGATTTGAGAATCTATATTGCTTGATAAAAGGTATAGGATTATTTAATTGTCTTTATACACCCCAATTGGGTATGTTTGATTAATTGCACCGCTGCAGCTGGAGTGCTTATTGAAGTTTTCCCTTTTCTTTCCTTGTTATTTTCCTTTGGTTTTGGTTAAATACATGGTACCTGCAAAAGCATTTTGTGTTGTGTGTGTGTGTGTATTTATTAGTTACTGCCCATGAGCTCCAGTAGCAATTCCTAAATCTTTTGACTAATAATAACCCAATATTTCACTTAATACCTAGCATGTATTCATTCATTAGCGCCACTGTGTGTCAGTGTACTGACACACAGTAGAAATTGAAAATCTTTAATATCAAGAATTGACACTTTTAAAATCGGCAACAAACGGTTTTAGCAGCTCGTTGACCTCAGTCCTCAGAACCTGGTGGACTGTGTTACAGAGAACGACGGCTGTGGAGGAGGCTACATGACCAATGCCTTCCAGTATGTGAATGAAAATGGAGGTATTGACTCTGAAGCGGCCTACCCATATGTTGGACAGGTGAGCAACCCACTCTGCCAAACACACAACTAAACTTGAAGTAGCTTATTAATCTGAGCCTTTCACTTCAGTTCGTTTCATGTAGTGAGTGCCACATCCTCTATAAACTAAGCACTTATATTTTAATATCACTGGGTGCTTGAACACATAAAAGCAAGATGGTCCAAAGCAGTCAAGCGGGGGTTTTTAAAGTAATAAACAAGTATAATTTAGTTGGTGTTTGTTGTTTTTTAAATGAGTGATTGCCCCACCTCTTCCAGTACTTAAGATAAGCTCGAAGTTGTTCTGGTAACGCACTCTTACAAAGAAGCTTTGCATAAAAAGTCTTTTAACCTAGTTGTTATAAATAATACCCAGTAATCAGCTGTTAGCTGCAGATGCATAGATGGTGAAGAGGTTCTCACTTGGCTGTGAGGGTGTCACGTTTGTCCCCTTCACACGCTTCACCAACAACATGCAACGAGGAAGAAAATATTTCATTTTGACAGTAAAGTAGCTGCAAACATCTTACCAGAGGGAGGTGATTCAGCAGAAATGATGAAGTGGAAACTCTCCCACAGAGTGAGCATAGTTTCCTCTTTAGTCATTTGGTAATATGAGAAGGAAGTACATCTGCTCGGTAATGATAAAAATCTGCCGTCTCTCTATTGTTTGGCTAGTTGGAATTGCACCAAACACATCATGTGATATAACATGTGACAGAAGAGTCACAAGGTACTAAAACCTTGCATAGCAAGTATTTTGACTATTGATTTTATACAGCAATTATTAACTTTCTTTTATTGTCGGTTAATCAGTAATAACCATCGGATTAAAATTCGATATTCTACCTAAATATGATTATACTGTGAGGTAAGGACATGAAAAGTAGCATCTTAAATATCAAGAATTGACACTTTTAAAATCGGCAACAAACACTTTTAGCATCAGGCATGGCAGCCCAGTGCAAAGGCTACAAGGAGATCCCAGTGGGTAATGAGCGCGCACTGGCTGTTGCACTCTACAAAGTTGGTCCAGTGTCTGTGGGCATCGATGCACAACAGAGCAGCTTCCAGTTCTACAAGCATGGTATATGAACATATGAACTTCTCATATGTCTGGTCAAATGAAATTGTTACCTGCACCTACTTCATATAAGGGAAGGAAAGTGTGTGGAATAAAATCCTAGAATTTAAGGGCCTGTTTAGTCAGGGTTTCTTAATTAAATATGAATTAAATAAACTAAACATGGAGTTCACGCCTTCATTTTGAGCAATAAACTTTAAATTAGGCAGCAGTAAAATTTAGTTATAATGGTCTGTATAAGCTAGTAAAACAATTAAACATAATAACACATCAACAACTTTCTGGTTATATTCAACATTAAAAAGTGTGCAAGGTACATAGTTTATGCACTGTTCACTAATGCAGCTCACTCTTTTTTTCTCTCTCTCTCTGTTGTGAACCCAGGTGTTTACTACGATCCCAACTGCACTCAGAAAAATAAAGGTGCCAACTGGAACCAAAAGTGGTTCTTTAGACTGATGCCGTAGAAGAACCTTTTTTGGTGCCACAAAGAACCTTTCAAACAATGGTTCTTTGAAGAACCATTTCTTTCAGTGGTTCATTGAAGAACCTTTAAAGGTGCCCCACAGAACCATCAAGAAATGGTTCTTTGGGGCACCTTTAATGGTTTTTCAAAGAACCTTTTTAAAAATGGTTCTTTAAAGAACCATTTTTAAAAAGGTCCTTCAAATGGTTCTTTAAAAGAACCATTTTAAAGAACCTTTTTTGAGTGGTTCTTTAAAGAACCATTTTAAATCTTTCAAAATAAAATGCATCATAAATTGAATTTGAGTAGGGTAAAATAAATACGAGCACAGCATAGACATATATTAATGGTTTATTGTCATTTTGTAGTATACCAAAAGACAAAAAGGCATTTTAACCCTCAGCACAACATCACTACTAATACATGTCACATATTAGTGTTTTAAACAGTAATAATTAAATATATTTGCTATACTATAAATAAATATATATAAATACTATAGCTACAGATAACACAACAATACATGTATTGTTTAATTAATAAAACATCAGAAAGTGATAAAACACATTAGAAATAGCAATAGCTTCATAACAGACCAATAAATCAACACATTTTCATCAGCAGATGTTTGCATGTTCAGTAACAATATTTCAACAAGTTTATGATTAAAATGATCAATGAACTTTAGCATTACGCTATGTAATGTACGTTTCATGTTGTACTCATGGTCCTTTGTTAGTCCAGTTTAGGATAATGTCTCTGACGTATGTTTCATATCAAATACAGGGAGTGCAGAATTATTAGGCAAATGAGTATTTAGTCCACATCATCCTCTTCATACATGTTGTCTTACTCCAAGCTGTATAGGCTCGAAAGCCAACTACCAATTAAGCATATTAGGTCATGTGCATCTCTGTAATGAGAAGGGGTGTGGTCTAATGACATCAACACCCTATACCAGGTGTGCATAATTATTAGGCAACTTCCTTTCCTTTGGCAAAATGGGTCAAAAGAAGGACTTGACAGGCTCAGAAAAGTCAAAAATAGTGAGATATCTTGCAGAGGGATGCAGCAGTCTCAAAATTGCAAAGCTTCTGAAGCGTGATCATCGAACAATCAAGCGTTTCATTCAAAATAGTCAACAGGGTCGCAAGAAGCGTGTGGAAAAACCAAGGCGCCAAATAACTGCCCATGAACTGAGAAAAGTCAAGCGTGCAGCTGCCAAGATGCCACTTGCCACCAGTTTGGCCATATTTCAGAGCTGCAACATCACTGGAGTGCCCAAAAGCACAAGGTGTGCAATACTCAGAGACATGGCCAAGGTAAGAAAGGCTGAAAGACGACCACCACTGAACAAGACACACAAGCTGAAACATCAAGACTGGGCCAAGAAATATCTCAAGACTGACTAAGGTTTTATGGACTGATGAAATGAGAGTGAGTCTTGATGGGCCAGATGGATGGGCCCGTGGCTGGATTGGTAAAGGGCAGAGAGCTCCAGTCCGACTCAGACGCCAGCAAGGTGGAGGTGGAGTACTGGTTTGGGCTGGTATCATCAAAGAGGAGCTTGTGGGGCCTTTTCGGGTTGAGGATGGAGTCAAGCTCAACTCCCAGTCCTACTGCCAGTTTCTGGAAGACACCTTCTTCAAGCAGTGGTACAGGAAGAAGTCTGCATCCTTCAAGAAAAACATGATTTTCATGCAGGACAATGCTCCATCACACGCGTCCAAGTACTCCACAGCGTGGCTGGCAAGAAAGGGTATAAAAGAAGAAAAACTAATGACATGGCCACCTTGTTCACCTGATCTGAACCCCATTGAGAACCTGTGGTGCATCATCAAATGTGAGATTTACAAGGAGGGAAAACAGTACACCTCTGAACAGTGTCTGGGAGGCTGTGGTTGCTGCTGCACGCAATGTTGATGGTGAACAGATCAAAACACTGACAGAATCCATGGATGGCAGGCTTTTGAGTGTCCTTGCAAAGAAAGGTGGCTATATTGGTCGCTGATTTGTTTTTGTTTTGTTTTTGAATGTCAGAAATGTATATTTGTGAATGTGGAGATGTTATATTGGTTTCACTGGTAAAAATAAATAATTGAAATGGGTATATATTTGTTTTTTGTTAAGTTGCCTAATAATTATGCACAGTAATAGTCACCTGCACACACAGATATCCCCCTAAAATAGCTGAAACTACAAACAAACTAAAACTACTTCCAAAAACATTCGGCTTTGATATTAATGAGTTTTTTGGGTTCATTGAGAACATGGTTGTTGTTCAATAATAAAATTATTCCTCAAAAATACAACTTGCCTAATAATTCTGCACTCCCTGTATATGTCATATCAAAACAAACCCACACCTGCAGTTGTTTCAGTTTTTCACTGGCGTTTCCTGTCAGCTGGTCAACCTCACTCAGGCGGACATCCATATCAGCCAAACAAACGACAAGTTCCTCCCTTTGTGCTTCAAATCCCTCCCACTCTGAGACAAGGAGCTGAAAGAGAGAGAAAAGAGTCAATTATAAAGAAGAGAAAAGTGAAACCCTCCTCAGAAGGTCTGACTCGCATACCTGCAGTTGACCTGTGATGGACTCCAGTTTGGCGTTCACATCATCCCTCGCCGATGCCAACAGCCGAGTCTGCCCAGGTGCCCTGGAAGAGCTGAGTTAATGTTCCACTCCTCCTGGTCAGGCTCTCCAGCTGGATGAGCCGAGATCTCCCCTCTCGCCGCTGCCTCTGAACACAGAAACACAAATTGCATCTGAAGCAGGAGGTGCAGATTTTTTTGCTATTCTTTTCTAAATGCAGGCTAGATCACGTGGAGGTATTTGGAAAACTTTTTTGGCCAGTGGACGACTGTTGTCTTGCAGAAAGTCAAATCAAACATATGCGATACACAATCAATTCACAAGAACACATTATAAAAAATAAGTCCAGTTCTTGCCTGATTTCAAGTGAATTCTGCATCAAAACAGGGTGACAGAAGTAAAACGAGAGCACAAAGCTTCACTTTGTACAAGCCTGCTATTACAGTTCTCCTCTATGCAGACGACTTTCCTGTTTTCAAGGCACAACTTGGATCTGCTGTACGAATCTTATGGATACACACTAAATGAAACAATAGTGTGCATGACTCCAGATTCTGATCCCTCATCCTAATATGGTCCCAACATAGCAACAGCAATAAAGAAAGTGTTGAGGCTTCAAAATACAAAGTCCATAAACCAATGGCTGACATGGGTTTTATCATAAGGGTGATAAATATACAGATTTCAGTCTGTCTTAGAGATTTGATGTTCATTTACCTGCAGATGCCCTATACGTGCCTGTTCCATGGTTTTTCACAACGTTTTGCACATCACTATTTAATACAGGAAGTACGTGAACTAAAACAAGTCATCTTTCTTTGTGAGAGGACCATATTAATGAAACAAACCTCAATGACATCATAGGGATCCCTAAAGATGCTCCTGCTGCTTCTCTTCCTCCTCATCCTAAGCTTCCTTCTCCTTGTCCTCGCCTTCCATCCAATTGTAATTCAACCTAATTGTGTTTCTCCCCCTCCTATTCCTCATTTTGTTGGAGCTGTGAACACAATTAATGTGAATCTGGATTAATTTGTGCAAACAAGAAAAATCTACAGCTTTTTGGTTAGAGGTGCTCTTGTGATTTAAGCCGGGTAGAGTAGATTTATGTGTTGATGCTACCTGCTTCAGCTCTGGCTGCTGAGTGATATTTACACCCTGGGTGGATTACAAACTTTAACCATGTGCTGAACTTTGGCCCAGCGTTGATACCTCTTGTTAGTATAACGACCTCTTCTTAGCTTAATGTATGATGGTGGATAAATGAGATATACAAAAAAAATTAACTATATTACAAAAGAACATCTATCTTGGAAACATCAAATGACCGGAGCATAACTTGTCAACTAGTCCGAAACTAAGTTATGCAGGAACAGTCAAAGACACACCTTCTCATGTCACATTTCTATTCATTTGTATATAATTAGATTAGACAATAAAGAGTCATCTAATCTAATTATTCATTCAAAACTCTTATGCATAGCTGTATTTTATACAGCTCATACAGAATTCAAAGTAGAGGTTCATGTGAGTATTTAATGTACGGCTGAGATCTACAGAATTTCAGAGTTTCTAGAGCAGACACAGAGCTCACATCACAACAGGCTTCAGGCGCCATTTTAGTGACTTTAATAATATATTAAATTTTAATTTCGGTCTTGCTGACATTGGGTTATGTACGCAGCACGCAATTGAACCACATATTTTAGAAGCCAAAGGTTCAAATTAGCTGGGAGCAGCTTCACTTAATTATAACAGTGGTTTTGTTAGGAAAACAGTTAGATACTAAATTGCGCTGACCTCAACGGCTAACGTATCTAGCTAATCGCTACTGTTAGCACAACATTAACAGCAAGCTACAATGACGAGTAACAAAAATAAAACAGTAATAAGGTTTTAATGAAAATGTTTTACCTTTTCTAACAGTCCCAGAATCCACAGCTTCAAAGTCCAGCAGGTACTGAAGACTGCTATCCGTTTCGCTGTCACCGTCCGTGAGTTTTTTTTCCCGAAAGGTCAAGGCACGCCGCTCGCACACTCCGTCTGCGCATGCGCATCTCAACGACTGACCCCCTCCGTCCGCTCCCGGGAGGTTATAGTATGACGTGTTCTGACGTCACTCTCTCTCTCCCTGTCATTTATTTGGCTCGAAACACATATTAACAAATTGCTCAGATCATTTACCTAAGCAGTGCGCTTTGTCAAAACGAAGTCTGTGTCCATTACACTGACATTCTGTTCTGCAATTGTTATTTACTTGTATTTTATAATTTGACTTTACATACTGCTGGGTGGTTTGTAAAGTTTACAATAACTAGTATTATCATTATGCTATATTTTCAAAAATATATAATAATCTCAAAAGTAATGCCTTGGAGTAGAAAATAGTAATGCTTTATTAAAATTTAAAACTAAAGTACAGTATTTGAATGTGTGTATTGTGTCTACTGTTTGCAAATATTTCTAACTTTTATTTGAATATTCAGTTTCCTACCATCTTCTCTTAAAGGGTAATTGCCAGGTATCCGGCCCTCCCCCTTCGCACACACATGCACACAAAGAAAACACACAGTATAATTCACAGCCTCATTATAGTGAATAAATATTTATGCCATTTACACCATCAAACTTAGATTGCTAAAGATGAAGAACCTTTTGTTCTTTAAAGAACCATTTGTTATAGCTGAAGAACCATCCACAAAATAAAAAGGTTCTTTGACGTATGATGGTTTTTTAAAGAACCATGAAGACATCTGAAGAACCATTTAAGAACCATAATTTTTCTGAGTGTGTACTTGTCATACTTTCCGAAAGTGTGCAATTGTGTGGTTCAAGTTTTTGAGAAAACCTCTGAATAAGTGGTTTTTGTTTACCTTCTGTTTCATGTCTTATGCGTTCAACTATTCCTTTCCTGCACTGTGAGGCAAACGGTGTAGCTTTTACTTTCGAAAGAGGAAGAACTGCGAGAGAACATGTGACACTTCGTTCTTAAATAATAGCAACAAGGAAACGCAGTCAGACTGAATTTCCGCGCAGTAAAGATGAGTCCGACTAATCAAGGCAAGTGAAACACTTTCCAGTAATACTTTAATAGCTTTAGTAGAAATATTAATGGCTGGTAAAACAAAAAGGCGGACATCGCCCCATAAAAAGCTTCATAATTTAGTTTACTTTCGTTTTTGTAGCTTTCAAAGACTTTTCTTTGTTCAGGCTGCAGGTGTGTTCAACGATAAAAAATATATTGTAACCTTGTTATAATGTCATGACAGTGAAGTAAAGTGTTTCTATAATGTTTAATAATTGTAAAAATAAAAAAGAAAGAAAGAAAGAAATTGTCCAAACACACTCGGTGTATGTTTAGTATATTCTTATGTAATTACACCATAGAAATGAAGGCTGTGTTGTACAACTACGCTGTAGCATTTGTTTAGTAAAACAATTTAGCTCAGTAGGTAGAGTGGTTGCCCCATGATCGGAAGGTCGGGGGTTCGATTCCCCTTAACAGCTACCCTAAGGTACCCCTGAGCAAGGTACCGTCCCTACACACTGCTCCCCGGGCGCCCAATGGCTGCCCACTGCTTCACTGAGTGAATGGGTTAAATGCAGAGAGCAATTTCCCCACGGGGCTCAATAATGTACACACCTTCTTCTTCTTCTTCTTTAAAAGTAATATAAAACCGGAATTCTTCGTTTTTGTATTTGTATTTATGAAACTGACAACAAAGCGAAGCGGAAAAAAGAGCCAGTCAAAGTCACTTTTGGGTAAAACTCCAAGTACAAACGGAGTAGATGGCTTACTTAAATTGCTTTAAATCGCATACATTAGTATGAGAAGCCTGATGAGTTATAAATTCTCGTTAAAAAATATTATATATATCATATTAAATTAAGGTTATACACTGAGGGTATTGTATGTACCGGTATTGTTTGAAGAGGGTCCTCTTCCCAGTTGAGAACTGTACCAGGTATAAGAGGTGGAGCTTCATATTCATCGCTGTACTTTTTGCGTTTTCATAAGTTTCACTTCAGGTCTTGTGACTGTGGAGTCATTTTGAAAACTTGCACAGCCTTAAATATGTGGATGTGATACTTGAGACTCATCTTAACACAGTGACCCTAAAGACACAGTGATCTGTGCAAAAAGTTGTTTTTTTTAAAAGTGACTTTTGCTATTAGTGATGAGAATTCCGGCTCTTTTTAGAGAACCGGATCTTTCGGCTCGCCTCACTAAAAAAAAAAACAACCCGGCTCTTTCAGCTCCCAATCGACTCTTCAGGTTGTTTTGTTGCTTTAATTCATTTATTATCAACAACAATATAAAATCATGCACAAAAGAAATTAGTAATTAAAAAAACAACAACGTTGTTTTATTTATTTATATATTTACATATAAATATAAATGGTGGTCCTTGGAGACAAAGCTTGTACAAACTCAAAAAAGCATGTAAAAACTCTGAAGCATTTACAAACTCCAAAACACATTTCTAGCGTTAACTGAACTTCCAAAACAGAGATATCTAGATCACTTAAATTACACAATTGAAAGCATATGTGTATTGTTTGTGTATTTATACACAAGCACTCATATATAGTCAAATGATTTTAAAAAAATGTTCATTTACCTGTTGCACACCAAATCCAGTCGTTGGTACTTCTTGGCATGTGTAGGTAACAAAAGCTCAACACTGTGCCTAGCATCCTGGAGCACTTCTGTTGTGTTTTGAGTTTGCACGTGTTTTGGGGCCACCGTAAATATACTTTTGTTTATTCACTCCACATAAAATGTAATCAATAAATCATATAATACAAAAGAACAACTATTTACATTTCAACTTTTAACTATTTAAACTTTCAGCTTTAAAGTGAAACAACACAAAACACCGCAAACCAAAACACAATTAAATCTAGATTAAAATATGCAAAACAAAAAGATCCACATTCTCTGTCATATAGGTCTGCATGAATAAACTTTCTGAATCCTTTATCATCCACAACTGAAAATTGTGGATGGTTACTATACCTTTCCAGTGTTGGGCAAGTTACTTTGAAAAAGTAATTAATTATAGTTACTAGTTACTTCTTCAAAAAAGTAACTGAGTTAGTAACTGAGTTACAATATTCTCAAAGTAATTAAATACTTGAAAAGTAACTATTGCATTACTTAAAAAAAACAAAAAAACAAAAAAAAAACATATAACCCTCTGGGGTCCAGTGTATAATTGGCCATTTTTTAACTACTTTTGATTTTCCCTCCACATTTCACCTTTAAAAACGATTTACTTTACCTTGTTTGGTATCATCCTTTTCAGCACAACCTCATGTGTCTGAATTTACAGTTAAGTTTTCATTTTGACATACTGTATTAACACAATTGATCTAAAATCAGACAAAGAACATAAAATCAGAGAAGAAAAAGTTATATTTTTTAACAATCGCAAACATGTCCCCTTGTGTCATACTGGGACCTTTTTGTGCCACTTTTTTTGTTCGCATGAACCATTTCACTGTGTTGGTGTAATATAGCGAACTTGCCACCTGTTCGTTTTTGTAAAGATTCAAATTTCAGTCTGATTTTTTACATCAGTCTAACACGGTTAGCAGCAAAATACTCACACTCATCACCTAGGACCGTTTGTGCCCATTGAAACCATTATAAATGCTATTTTCACGCAAAAAATTACGGTCAAATCGATCGTGATCGTATGTTCCGTTCCGTTGCATATGGCCTTAGAGTTGTAATTTTTTTATTTGTCCACCGGGTGGCGCCCTTGCTCCACATTTGACCCCGGGCTGGAAAACAGCGGGCTGCTTAGACAGACCTGCGGAAAATGAAGCCTCATTTCCGGCGTGCAGCAGCGGCTTCGCCCGCTGATCGGCCGGGACCATTTTCGGG